ACTGCTGACAATGAATTTGACTCATATTTGTTGTTACCAAAGGTTTCAGGTCAAATGGATGTACTTAGTTGGTGGGCATCAAGAAAAGCTGAATATCCAATACTTGCGAAACTTGCTCACAAGTATTTGTCTATTCCAGCAACCTCGGTGCCATCTGAATGACTTTTCTTAGCTGCAGGTCTTACTATTACTGAAAGACGAACACGTCTTAATCCTGAATACGCTGGTACAATTTTGTTTCTTAAATCGGCTTTAAATCTTTGGCCAGTTTCTCATGTTTTTAAATAGGGTTATAGATAGCAAAAAAAAAAAAAATTTATTGTTCAATTTTTTTATTATGTATGTATTTGGTTTCGGATGTCATTTTAATAAATGATGTATTTACTTCAAAATAAAAGATCTATAAATCATTTTCATCTTTTTTTTAAAGTATATACTTGTTTACACAATCGCTTACAGATTGATATTTATAAAAAAAGCCAATTCTGGGTATGACTATTTAATTTTTTGATCAGAATTTCAATCTCTCACTTATTTTCGAAATAAATAAATTAGACGGTTTCAGACCTAAGGTTCAGGTTTCTGATTTCGAATTAAATTAGTGTCAAAATCAGTGATCTATAAGTCCTATTTATTTTTATTTGGGAACTTATTATAATAATAAGGGGTTTCAGAATTAAAAAATAGAGTATTTCGGAAATAAATAAGAGGTTAAAAAATCTTATTTGTGTATCAAAATTTTGAAATCGGAAAATGAAATGGGACCCATTTGACGAAATAAGTAAAAAATTTTTTATTATGCAGATCAACAATTACAAAATACAGAATAATAATAAAACTTCTCGCTCAAATTATTTACTGAACTTTCGCTCAAACCATTTATTGAACCTTCGTCTAAATTACTTACTGAACCTTCACTTAAGGTATTTTTTTTATATAATTTACTAAACCTTCGCTCAAATTATTTTTTTATATTACTTGCTGAACTTTCGCTTAAATTATTTTTTTATATAACTTATTAAACTTTCGCTTAGATTTTTTTTATATAGTTTACTTGAAAAAAATCGTTAGATTTAATTGTTTTTCACATATAATAAGATATTGATTCAGTTCTATGGCTTGTATTAATTCGAATAGTTTGTCAATTTCTTTATCCAGGACTTTAGTAATAGCCTTATTTGTGCTAGTTGAGTATTCGTTCATAAGTGTCTTTAAAAGATTATTTATTTGTTTAATTTGACGTTGTCGATGTGAAATTTTAGGCATGTTAAGCATAAAACGGTATTAGAAGCAGTATCGATTAATAATAAAATAATTTATAATAAATAAAAATTTGTCCATCCCTACATCTATCTTTTTTCTTTAATACTGATTATGCCAAAATCAATAACTTTAATAATTATTTAAGCAGCTCGCAGCCCCGAATTTTATAAACTTATACTAACCCTTTTTTGACCCAGGTCAACCCAAAAATGACCCATGACCCGCATGACCTGTCAAATTTTCTGACCCGTACGGGTTAACCCTACCCGGGTAACATCTCTACTCATGCTCCTGTGTCTCGAACCCTACTTATTAGATAAATTGGAGTTGTTATTAATAGGTTTAATAAAATGATTTAATTTTTTAAAACCAATATAGAGTGCTATATATTGTAAGCTAAATTTGTAGTTATAGCTATACTTGCAAAATATTTTATTAGAAAGGGTTTAAATTGCAGCCTGTAAAATATAATATTTAATTTTATACCAAGTTATATTAATACTCTTAAATATGTAAATATGCAAAGAGGTATGTTATTAGGTAAAGTGATAATAGATAAAATTAAAGAATTGGGTTTATTGGTTAGAGAAAATTGATTTGTAATCAAATATTTTATAGTTAATATTGGTATAAAGATAAGAAAATTTGCTAAAAGCATAGAGAAATATAAAAAAAAAATTAAGATTAAATAATCACTAAGAGTACTAGTTTTGCTTTTGTGAAGTTTAAAGTTAAAAAAAAATTGTAGATTAAATAAGTTTATTTATATTAGAAATTTTTTTTTGAGAATATATATTAATTATAATTTTCAAGATTATAATCAATATATATTACCTCTACTAGATATAAATATTAGTAATAATTTTTTATCAGATTTAACAGATTATTAATTTTAGTAAATTTAATAGTATTTTATAATATTTTTAAATTTGATAATTTCTTAATATTAATACAAAATCTATCTATTATATATATTAGTTTTAGAAAGTTTAATAGCAATAATGAATATTTAATATTCTAATATTCTCAGGAATATTCAAAAAAAATTTAAAAACACTGCATTTAGAAATTATGTTTTTTTTTAAAAACAAAAAATTTATAATTTATATTTTTATAAGATATATATAAAATTAATAATAATAATTTTATTAGAAAACTATCACTTATTATATAATTATAGCCCTTCTTTAGAGTTATTCATTTGACAATTACAAGTTCTAAAATAATCAATTGTTTGACAATTGCAAGCTCTAAAATAACTAATTGTATAGAGTTTATATTATGATTACTTTAGAACTTGTGATTGTCAAATAACTGACTCTGAAGAGGAGCTATAATTAAATAATAAGTGACAGTTCCCTTAATAATAATTTTATTATTATTATAAATTTATTATTGAAAACAAAAATTCTTTTAAAATATATTGTAAATTTTTATCAAAAACAAAAAAAAGATTTAAACATTATATAATTAAAAAATTTATTTTTTAAAAATTATTATAGTGCACATTAAATTTTTTTAAAAACATAAAATTATAAATTTATGTTTTCAAAAAACAAAATTTTTTTAAAAATTCTTTAATGGTTTAACAGTATAATTAAAAATAAACAATCTAAGCTATAAAAAAATTATAGTTTATAGTTAAAAATTTTAAACATAAAATTTTCTAGTAGTCTTTGCTAATAGGTTATTTATGCATTGCGACATATATGAGGTTGAATCAATAGAAATCAAGCAAATATTTTTTTAATGTTTTTTAAAACTTTAAACAAGAATAACTTAACAAAAACTTGATCAAATTTAATAAATTATTTTTAAACTAATTCTACAAGTTTATAAAAATTATTTAAAAATTTTTTTATTAAATTTGGTTACGTTTTTGTTAAGTTATTCTTGCTTAAAGTTATAAAAAATTTTTATTATAAAAAATTTGCTTGATTTCTATTGACTCACCCCCATATGTCTAAAACTTTTTTTTTTTTTGCTACGCTTGAGCCCAAATTATTAACATTAATTAACCTAATCAACTTTAGAAAGTCTTATTGTACTTAAAAAAAGGTCCATTCTGTTTATAACAATCGATTACTGTACATGGTCATGAAATAGATAATATAACAACTAAGGCAAAAGAGGTATTGTGGAAAATTGGAAATATTGCGCATACACAAAAATTTACGCCTCTCCACTAAGGTAAACCGAATGACGTAAAATCACTGATTCTGACTTAATGGATCATAACCTTAGTGTATTAAGTTTCCATATTACGTACTACATATAGTAACAAATTTTATACGTACGTACGTACGTACGTATAAATATTATGGCGCAGAAGCATATGCCAAATTTGGATTCATTTAAAATTTATCTGTGTGAACAACTTTATCAAATGCATTAAAAGTCGATAGCGATAAGGCTCAGCATTAGTACGAGAACTTTTTTCTACTATTCTTATCAAATGCAAAATAATAAAATGATTTCATTGTTTAATTCTCATGATCTAGTGATAGAATTTAATGAAATTTTGCACTATTCTATTCGTTTCAGAGAATGATTTAAAATTACTGATATGTTGATAATATCCGTATATTACGAAATATCGTTAATTCGCCCCAAATAACTCAGTGTTAGTCGATTTATCAGGTGAAATTAACAATCAAACAGAATCTAATTATAAAAAAAATGAACATATAAACTTTTAGTTTTATATAATAAAAAATAGGATCTCTTATTATAATATAATGGCTAGGAATTTATATTTGTACTTAGCAATAATGTAATCTAAACTATCCAATCAGAAATCGAATATCCGAAACTTAGTCCATAGATAATAATGATACGTGTGCATGTACTGAAAATTGTTCATTCCTAATCGATGGATGGCACCATTCGACATAATATGCAATACATCATTCATTTTAGGATCTAATGTTTATATAGAACAACTCCGTGGCATTTGGTTGAAGAACCTGCGTGGGCATACCATTGCTGACATGTTATTGTATGCAATGTAGTATAAAGTTTTTTTCAACTTAAACTTATCGTTGTGACATGTAAGGATAGTATTCTGCTAAATGACATACTAAAATTTTTGTGTGACAGATTCGCTAGTGTTGGGGCGAATTTTTAGACCCCGATCGACTCTTAATCGAAACTTAACTTTATTAAACTTGATGTAAACAGGTAAACCAGTTTTAAGATCGATGGAATCAAGTAATGGTAAATTTTCCTTCTACAAAAATCGGGAAACAGGAATTAGATTATGTTTATAAACATTGCTAATTAAAACAGGTCCAAGAAACACTTATCGTACAAACAATGAAAATTTTCTTTATATAAATTGATCGTCAGAGTGCATGTCTTAAAACTATATATAGGTAGATTTCATCATAAAAAGTGTGGGGCGTTAAGATTGTTTGATAAACTAGAAATTATTTATGTCTCAGTCATTTTAATATGACAAATCAAAAGACTGCATTGGTAGTGTTACCGTTACTGTGTGTATCTTAACAAAGGACTGATATTTAGAAATGATGTAATTACGGGATTCATTCTAATAATATATATATGAAGAAATAAAATAAATAAAATTTTGATAGTATTTTCTTCTAAAAATTTCTTTAAAAAAATTTCAAAAATTTTAATCAATGCTAGTAAGTACGCTTTTTTCTTTCTTAATTTGAGTTCTTCTGTTTCCACATGGTTCTTACGGATTGAAAAATTAGAAAATAAACACATCCATGCCGCCCTTTCAAACTCTAGACCATCATACTGGTAATTATCTTAAAATTTGCGCATTAAATAATTATTTAATTGAATTGATTAATAATTCATAATTTCATAGATGAGGCATTAGAAGATGAGACTGAGGAGACACTCAATGAAAAAACATGGGCAGATTTAATTGCTTTGTGCCAAGATCGACGTAAGTTTTCTACTTTCTTAAAAATTTAACGAGATTTAATCTAATATTTAATCATATAGAATTGAATGCGGAAGGCGATAAACAGACGCTAATACAGCGACTCTTGGATTGGGTAGGTAGATGTGTTTTTTTAATCTCGTTAATTTATCAATATTATGATAAAAATGGCGGAAAGTCAATGGAAAAGTTTCCAAGAAACTATTTAAATAAAATATTTTAATAATTATTACACCAAATTCGATAAAAAATTTTTTTTCTTATTCAATTCCATAAAAAAAAAAATCTTTTACCGAATTTTGTTTGGTAATTGTTAAAATCCTTTAAATAGAAAAAGAAAACGTTAATGAATTATCTCTTTATTCTACCATTTTTCCCAAATAAATTATTTTTTAAAAGAAAGTGAATACACGCCCAGTTCCTGCACCTTCAACTCCGCGTCTTTTTTCAGCAGACGGGTCAGGTACTCCATGGAAAGAGAAATTGAATACAGTATTATTGTCATCACTACTACTTGATGAAGAAGATATATCAAGAGAAATTCCTTATAATGAGTTAGAAATAGGGAAAAAGTTGGGATCAGGTGGTTTTAAAGATTGCTATATTGGACGATATAAAGGGGTAATTTTATATATATTACATATGTACAGTATATACGTATTTTATATATTGAAACGCATCAAAATAATTGATGGTGAAATGGGCTTCTTAGGAATTGGTTGCTGTTGGTGAACTTCGAGTAGCGAACTTTTCTGATTCAGATTTTAAGGAAATCAAACATGAAATAAATGTTCTCAAGTAAGTTTTACATATTTATGCTCATGAAATATTCTTTTATTTACTAATTAACTTGATAAAAAAAATTATATATGAATTTGCAAATATTCATAAAAAAAGGCAGCTACGACATGAGAATATTATACAATTCATTGGTGTATCTACAAATACAAAACATTTATGTATTATTACGGAATTATGTGAAAATGGTGATATGTTTGATTTCACGAGAGCATATCCGAAACCATTGTTTAGTCAACAGGTTGTGTATAATTTTTATTAAATTCGAATTTAGTACCATATAAATGCCCATGAATTATATGACATATAGTACCGTTATTGTTTTTTTGTAATATTGTGACCTATAATCCATGTGGCATTTAACTATTTGACCTTCAGATGGTAGAATATTTAATTAAACAAGAGCTTTTAATCAGTTTTTGATTGGTTTTGCATTTCTAGATAATGTATATGCATGACATCGCCCTGGGTGTTACTTACTTACATACACGACGACCTAGCATTATTCATAGAGTAAGTTGAGACTCGTTTATAAGCAATCTTGATGAATTTTTGACAATAATCCTATTGATTTTATTATTAGGATTTAAAATCGATGAATATCTTGGTAAGTATTCTTTATTAAAATGTCTTTATTAATCTTCTTTTTACTCATTTTTAGTTGAATTATTATTAGATATCTGCTGATTTAAGAGCAAAAATTAACGATTTTGGCCTCGCCCGTATCCGACCTAGAAATGCGAGCATGCATACACAATGTGGTACTCCAAATTGGCAAGGTAATCAAAGGTTATAGATCTTAAAAAAAAAATCTTAAAAAAGAAAGATTACTTATATATAATTTTCTATAGCACCTGAATTTTGGACATCTAAACCAAGCTATACCGAAAAGGTATAAGAGTCGACTAATTTTTACAGTATGTCTGTTATATGAAATAACTCCGTGGGTAACATTTCTTATTTAATGATATTGCTTTTATTTACTTTGATAATGGTTAACTAGGTTGATGTAAGTATCTTCTTGTTATCTGGCATGATTTGACGGATACATGGGTATCGGCAGGATAATAGCAAAAGCACGTGGCCGAAGGCCTCGTGCGTTGTAATTGTACTGTCTATGTCCACGATCCGTATATCACACCAGATAACTAGTTTATCTGGCAGGCATGACGTATACACTTACGGAAAGAATTCCGCAGATTTTTATATTAAAATTAATAAGAATTTGTCACATTGATTTTGATAAAAATTTGCGGAAATAATGTAAAATTTTTTTCGTCAGTGTTTACATAGTACCTACTGGATAAATTTTGTAAACCTTCTTAAAACTCACAAATTTATAGACGTTAATATTATTATTTACCTTATAACAGGTATATGCTTGTGGTCTTATATTTTGGGAAATTATGACATGGGCTGAACTTGGATACCCGTATCAAAATTTTTCTGAACATCAATTGTACGAAGCAGGTATACATCACAGCATTATCAATATTATATAATAATAATATTTTTTTTTTTTTTGCGAATTATTCAATAATAAATTCTATTTTCATAATTCACCAGTACGAGATAAAGGAGTTCGTCCAAGCTTGGAAACTTTAAGAATATATCCAGTCAAATTGTTAAATTTGGTTGAGGATATGTGGAATTTTAACCCAAAGAATGTAAGAATTACTTATTACCATTTTTTTGTTTTTACGTAGTTAATTATTTCTTTTTATTTCCTAATATGAATTCTTAATAAATAATATAGAGACCTAGCATGGGCGTTGTTGTTGAAAAACTTGCAGAATTTCTATCTTAAATTCTTTTATTTGAATTTTTGAGAACTTATTGAACTTATTGAACTTATTGAGTTTATTTATCTCATTCATATTACTATTGCAAATTAACAAACATTTATTTAATACGAGCATTGAAAATTCTAGTATATATTTTTATATTCAATGAAAAAAAAATTCATTATTACCTCATTTGTTTATCATAGTATATAATTCGGAAAACCGGGAGTTATTTGCGTAAACCTGTTTTTCATTGGTTTGTAAATTATCAAACATTGAATATATCCAAAAAAAAAAATTAAAAATAAAAATAAATACTGACTTGTATAAAATTTTGTTGATAAATAAAAGTATGAATCATAAACGAGAATTCAATGGCTTAAAGTCGCTGTAGCGGCAATCACATAGTTAAAGGTAATAGTTTTGGGGTGACTTTGGTCAAGATAGAGTTTCCCTTATCGTTATATAAATAATAATTTTGTTAATGGGAATATGAGAATATGGATACACAAAGATTATAAAGACATCGATTCTGAGTCATTCGGACAACTGTTTAAACTTTCAATCGAATTAACTCCATTCCCTGCTTCGATCCTTCGCAAGATACTAACGAATGCTGGTAAATCGTTAAAATATCTTCATTTGGATCAAAGATCTCATTCTCCTATTAGAAATTTCTTTAAAAACACGATACAAAAATGTACCCTCAATAATCCAAATCTTTTAAAATTTTCAGCCTATATTCACACTTCTGAAGTTTCCAATCTTCCTAATTTCTTTTCAACATGCCAAAAATTAATTAGTTTCGAAATTTGGGATATAAATACTTCATCCGATAATGACTTTCAACAAATCTCTCAATTAAGTGTCACAGACGTTGAATCAATACTTCCTCAAATGTCCACAAAATTTCCACCACATTTATCCGAACTTTAGGT